AAGGCGCTATATAAAATAAAGTTTATTATTATTATATTATAAATTACCCCCATCAGAATGCAGAAACCGACTCCCCAATTTCAAAACCAATATATTTAAGTTCTCAATAATACCTGTAGCCATACCCTTACTCAACTCTTGATTTTCTACTCAAATATGTCTGCAGATTTTTGTTGTTGTCATGTTTTTTTTTTTTCTTTTCAGCCCATCTGTACACTACTGCTCTAAAACAAATTGCCCCCTCAGGGATAATAAAGACTCTTTCTTTCTCTCTCAGAGACTTGATTACATGGTAATGAATTCAGAGTCCTTACCCTTGCTCAGTGTAGCCATGTGGTTCGAAACACATTCTACCAAAAACAGCCAGCATGAACATTTTGTGATTCAAGAGCTTTTAAAGGCATTTATCAGCTAAGTAGCTCATTATTCTTTGTCTTCAGGCTGTGTTTAATAACTTTGCCTTTGCTTTTGTGCAATCAAGGAATTTCTGTGTAGTTTGGCCTATGGTCAAAGTTCTAAAGTTTGCCTATGAAAATCTATTTTTTCAATTGATCTCATATGGCTAAGCATTAAATAACTTGCTAAACAAAGATCAAACTCTTAGTCCTTTTCTGAATGCTTGATCTGACTTTCATCAGATTCATATTTTTTTTTACCATTTATGCCCTATTTATTTTCTTTTGTGGTCTCTCAGCGTTCTCATAGTCTTCTTGACAAGACAAGACCATTGAAATGTTGGTTTTTATTTTTTCATGCCATATTTGCCCACTGCAGCATGTGCCTACATAGCATTTGATGTCTTTATAAAAAAAGTTAAAAGAAACCTTCCTGCTGACATGCATCTGGGAGATATGGAACTACATTCTCTCTATATGCTATAAAAAATTAAGAAGACCAAATAGTACAAGCACAGCATACAAACCAGGACAGCTGGATTCACACCCCTACTTTCACACCTAGTTACTTTTACAGTGCCATGGAAACTTTACTGACCATGTAATCAGGATCTTGGATTAATTTCTCATCTGAAGGACAGAACATGCAGCATGGTGTTCCAGGTCTCCATGTTGAGGCATTGATTTGTTATTTTGACCTGAAGGGAAGAGTGACACCCACAGGTCCATCAGCACCACTTGCAGGAACCCGTTATTTGGATTTCACCCATTCTAAACCCATTGACCAGACCCAATCTTGCCTAACATCTGAGATTTTACAAGATCAGACAACAAAAGAAGTAACCCTTCTGTAATGAACATTATGTTAGCATTGTTTTTATATTATAACATTTAGTATGTGTCATTAAAATACCTCACAACATTTAAAATTGACTTTATTCTCATTATTATTAAAGAAATGTTTAAAGCCGCACACGCTGTTTACTGTGTTTATTACATTAGTTTGCCCTAGCCTAGTACTGTACATGACAGCATTTTTTACATTTGAAAATTGCCCATGGAGGATGAGGAGAACACCAATATTTTTATTTCTGTTTATTCTCAGGTCTAGGAAAAAGCTCATATTTCATGCCATCGTAAAATGAATGCACTGCTGTAATTTGAAGATGGGAGGCCAGGTTAAAGCTGCTGTAACATGTTTCATCACTTTCATCATCTTTCATTCTGATCAATCTGGGTGGCAAGACCCAGCTCCTAGTCTTTTGGACCTGGAAAACTGCACAGAGAGACCCTATGTTTTCTCAGAAGCAGAGGTTTCAGTGGTTTGTGATGAGGAGCACATAGAAGGGTTATGAAGGGTGATATACCCACAAAAGTGAGAATTACATTTGCTTGCCTAGAGAACTCCTGCTTTGCTTGAATGCATTTGGACGGCAGCTGTCAGAAGTGAGCTAACTGCAGTTAAGAATAAACCACTGAAAATCAAATGCCATCCCCCAGGAGCCACTTTACATGTACAGTAGGTAACAGTAGGCTTCTGTAGGGAGAAGATATATTTCTCTTCATGTTAAAAGTGTTCCACACAAAGAACCTGGATAACATCCTTCCATGATTGACCCAATTGATTAATCTGGTCCTACTGATTGAGCTTCATAAGAGGTTCTCATAATCATGAAATAATTGGGTAAAAACAGTAGGAAATCAGATAATGTTCTTCTTCATAATTTCTTTCCCATTATTCAGGCATTGTAAATATGCATTTTTCTGTTCTTCTATAGCATGTTGATTTCAACCACTCCTGCAAAAAAATTGAAATATTTTTCAGGAATGATTTGTGATAATAGACAAACAGATTTGTTGAAGCCCAGCTTGGATTTCTCATATTTATATCAATGTTTTTTGTGAATTATTTACAGATTTCTAATCATCACTGGTTTTGTGTTTTGAAATTGAAGTTCTAGTATTGTTTTTCTCCTTTGTATATCAGCTACCTGATCAACCCCATCACGAATGTTTTGCAGCCATACAGAACATATACTGTACATCATCAACATCATCTGAAGTGACTTATTACCTTAGCATTCACAGGCATCTCTTCCAAGAGTTTTATCATTTAATCACAAGTGTAATGTCTGTTGCCTTCTTATAGAATACATGGACTGCGAACAATGAGGATTCACCCACAGCTTTCAAGAAGATACACAGTTATCTGTTTTTCAGTTTCAGCTCATTAAGGGGTGTTTTTTTGGCAGGGTGTAATTACGTACCGTATTCCCCCATCTAAAAAATGACATAAAAACATACATTTCTGTTATCCCACTTTCCAAATTGATGCTCACGGAAAGCTTCCATTTTAACCAAAATCAATTCCACAGGAGAACAGGAAGTAGCAGAAATTGTCTTTACCAGAAGTCCCATTGGTGTCTGGAACAAGAGTCAAAATGTTTAACACAAATTTTGGGGTTCTTCCAGGGCTGACAGGAAGGTTGTAGGTTTTAGCTGAATGTCTTTATTATCATAATGATCATCATTTTGATTTGTGCAGTTTCTTAAATTCTAGTGCAACTTTCACAAGAATCTACTTCCAGTTTCAGCTGTGGAAGGCTCCAGAGCTGAAACATTGTGTTTTCTTTCTTCTCTTTTCAGCATGGAATAAAACCTTTACATGTTCCTTTGCAGATTATGCATGCTGACACAGCTACCCACCTGAACTACTATACACTCTTAACTGTTCAACTGGCTTTTAGTGGGACAAGCAATAAGATTTTCAATTTAGCTCTTTGCTTAATCATTGTGTAATTTTATTTTCTGCTGGAAAGTATAGCAGTTATATGGAACTCCATAGTTTTGGTCAATGAGCATTTTAAAAAACATTTTCTTTTTCCTTTACAGAACCCTAAGGACTGCAGCAAAGCCAGGAAATTGGTGTGTAACATTAACAAAGGCTGTGGGTATGGTTGCCAACTTCATCATGTTGTCTACTGCTTCATGATCGCCTATGGGACCCAGCGCACGCTCATCCTGGAGTCCCAAAACTGGAGATATGCCACCAGTGGTTGGGAGACTGTCTTCAAACCCGTTAGCGATACCTGTACAGACAGAACTGGCGCCTCCACTGGGCACTGGTCAGGTAAGAGCTGCTCTGCAATTCAGTTAACTTTCCTGGGTGTGTTGATCTGGTCTGATTGTGCCTAGTCATGGCACTCCTGTCAAGAGCTTTTCTTCTTGACCAATTGTATATTTAGCAGAAGAATTAAACTCCATGTTACCATTCCACATAACAGGAGAGTATAGAAACATTTAACTTCAATTACATACTTGTATTGGTTGTATAATGAGTCCTTATATCAGCTTCAATCTGACTGATGTTTTTTTGCAAAGGTTGAAAATGTTGTTTTCCTTTACACCCCTTTTGGTTTTCATTTCAAATCTTGTTGCAAGTTTTTTAAGTGTTTCCATGGTGGTCCAATTAATTACAGCAGGAAATGTCTCTACTGAAATTATTCCTTAAGGCTGAATGTGAGCAAATCACCTTCAGAAGAGAATCCCCTTGTAGAACCACAGAGCCAAGGAGCACACTAATACTGAAATTTAATTTAATAAATGAAAGAAAATGCAACTTATTACAAGCTTTTCAAATAAAATAAAAGCACAGGAGTTCAAAGAATCATTCATGAAAAGTTTGGAATTTATATCTATACCATATGAGGTTAATAATGTTAATGTGCACAAAGCTGTATTTAAGGCTTCATTCAGAATAATTCAGCCCAGTTTTGGTCAGTGTGCTACAAAAAGATACTGCTGTTTATAGAAAATGTCAAGGAAGAGAGAACATAACGACAATAAAGGAACAAAATTAATTTAGTCTTGAACAGAGGACAACACACGGGAAACAGATTCAGAAGTCAATTCACACAATAAACTTTAGACTCAAGGACACAAGCAGAAATTCAGCACAGAAGTATGCAGCAATGAAAACAGGAGCTGGTTGTTTACAAGGAGACTAGTTGGTGTTGAGAAGAAACAACCCAGCCTTATTGCAGGTGATGGATAGATAGGATTTTTAGATTAGTATGCTGCTAGCAATCAAAATGAGTAAGATGGTTCCTTTCAGATGTTCCATTATTGCCATATATAACATCCTTGTAGACATTAATTTACAGGTAGCTTCCATAAATGAATGGTGTAGGAGTTTTGTGAATTTTTCTGGGACAATTTATTAATTGTAGCGGTAACCATGGGGTGATTCTTATATGGCTATTAGAAAATAAATTGATCAGCAACACGCACACATGGATTCAATACATGAGATACATTTAATAATACATAACTTGTGCATATAAAACATACAGTATACAGGATACAGGTGGCAGATTGTACTCTGAGGGTTATTAAAATGCAAGATATATAATCACGAACAGATGCAAAACACAAAGAGATACAAACAAAGAATATACTTCAGTATACTGTTCTGTTATACTATCATTAATCAGTCTCACTAATACCACTTCTACATTACTCAAAAGTAAATACATTACTCATATGAATTTAATTGATGTCAACTTGTGTTGAGGTAACAGTTGAATTCTTGAGATGAAATGTAGAACATTGGGTTTACTTATCTCCTGTATATGGATTTGGGTTTCCCAGGATAGACACCAAAAACCCGCTGGCAAACTCTGTCGCAGCGGCGTCCAATAGGCGTCGTCCTGGCATCCTTTGGATCGGTGCCAGTCCTGATGCTGTTCTGAGTTAGAGAAATTAGGAGGAGAGATTCCTGCTGTCAGCGACGCGCTAGACACTTTCTCTCTCAGGGACTTACTAGTAGTCTGGCTGACTAATAGAAAGTCTCTATGCACAGAGAGTGACTGCGGGTCCAGCCAAGTCACTCTTTTGGGGGGAAAAAACTTGGATTGCTTCCTGAGTAGTGGCTACTTCTGGACAAGAGTATCCAGTTGTCGACAAGGGTCCAAACGCATAATTTGGTGATCACAAAGATGAGAAAGAGAGATAAAGCCTCATTTAGGAAAGCACAGCAATACTTTATTCTGTCTTATTAATATGCATTGCCGCTAGAATGGAAACAAAGACATAATAAATCTATACAAGGTTTATTAAATTAATAAATTATTATAAGCACAATTTTTACTAGAGAAATTTACTGGAGAAAAGTATTTGTTTTAAATTTCCTGTATTTAATTTGTAGAAGCTGTATTTGCTGGTTTTGATTACATTTGAGAGTTTCCTTAATCCCGCATTTTTTTAGTCTTTTGGATGTGATTTCTTCTCATTCAGTAACAAAAAGGATTTCAGTTGCATTGATAAACCATTCCTATCAGCCAGTCCTATGGAGCCTGCTTCCACTTCATCAACTTCTGAAATTAATTCCTCCAGCTTTGTACCCTGAGTAATCCACTTATTATGAAAAGAAAGATTAAGGATTTTTAGTGACTGGTTTGACATTGAAAGCATGAAATAAACCCACCCTTTTCACGTTCCTATTTCACTTGGGCTCCTGGTGGTTTATTAGAAGAAGCGAGTGCTGTATAATGCTTTTTAAATTCATCTGGGATTCAGACAAATGCACATCTGTAAGTTTCTTGTGGAAAAAAGAATCACAAACTGATTTTTTATTTTAAGCAGTAAACGTTCAAATAAAACATGTGAAAATCCTTTTCTTTCAAAAGAAACTGGATACAGTTATTGCAGTTATGTCAGTTTGATCTAAAAACTCTCAGATCTGCTCCATATAAACCATATTTATACAGAAGCTTTCATTATCACATAGTGATGCAAAACAAATTGCCATATTACAGTGTTTCAATATCAGTTCTCTACTGAAATACAAAATTCAAAAAAATATCAGCAGTTTTTCGATTCAGAAAAGCTGAATAATTGAGGACATCCTCTGTATTTTTTTAATTCAAAGCATGTAGATATGTTGACTTCAGCTTTGTTACTTCAATCCTTGTACCAGCATAAGAGGGCTGAAGACTGTCAGGATTGTTTCCTTTGAAATGTTTCACAGTTGAGCCATTAGCTTTTTACTCATAGTCCAACAGTTACTTAAAACCTGCATCCTGCCTAACCTAATTTGATTATTCCAACCAATTTCTAACTACTTTGTCCAATACAGGGTGGTGGTGGGGCCGGAGACTATCCTGGCAAGCAATGAGCTCAAAGCAGAATATAAGATGGACATCATGGCTGTTATTTGCAGGACATAATTTGGTTATTGTAGAGTTAAAAAGGAAATCAACCAAAGACCTATACATCAAGCAATTACATCAATAAAACATACTCCAATAGTGTTAGTTCATGAAGATAATACCAGAAGCTATTAGGATGAAGCTAATACCAGCTAATACCTGCAATTTATGTTTGTAAAGAGTACCATTTATAACAACGTTGGTGACATTCCCCTAAGAACATCATATGTTGCTCAAAGATTGTCAGCATCTAAAAGACATGAGAAGGTATGTTTGGATTCTGCCATAATGAAAGCCCGTCCAGAGTTTCAACATCCTTGTGAAGAAAATGCAGATTTTCCCGATTTTTTTAATTGTTGGTTCTTGTTCTATTTCACAGTGATTTCTTCTGTTGGCTTTTAGATTTTTCTCAGTCAGACCCAGCTTGATTAATATGACCTTTAAATAACTAATACTGGCAAGCATCCAGAAGATTTTGAGATACTCTGTATTCAAAAGATGAAAAAAGATATCTGGTTCTGATTTTCAACACAAGTCTAATGGTTTGACAGGATTTGAACATAAAGTAGCAAATTACTGGATATTTTATCAGTCCAGTTATGTGTACTTTTGTTTCTAGATAGCAAGTACTAGAAAGTAAGTACAAGTTATCATGTCTGCCTAGGTCTAATCTCTCTTTTTTTCAGTATGAAAAGATCCGCTTTACAACATTTTTCATAGTGATATGATACTGAGTCTAATCATACACAGTCATTACATGGCTTATTACCACACAAAGGGCTTATGCCTACTGTTACAATAATTACCAGTCTACTCAACTGAAATATGATAATTAAGTTTCCTTAAATTTCCATTCACAGCAGTCAGTCACTGGATTATGCTGCTGTTGTACTAAACGTGCATACAGACTGGTTGAGATTTGTAGCCTGGAAACTGGGTAAGAGCGAGGTGATGCCTCTGCTATTTGAATTCAAACTGGGACCTTTGTTAATGGTGTGAAGGACTGAATACAGGTTGAGTACTGACAGAACTGGGTGGGTAAAGGAATTTTTGTTCCTTTACTGTATATAAGAATCATTACTTTCGTGCCCACATAAATTCTGGAATTGCCAAAGAAACATAAATGCATACCATTTTAAATCTTATACCAGGTGAGCTTATGCATGCACCCTTCAAACGTGCACAGAAACTTTCTTCTTTATTTTCACACAGCTGCCTACTGTGCGAAGAGTACAGCTAGAAGAAGGTTCTCAGGTTGCACTTGCATTGGAGGCAACCCTGGTCATTTTCAATCCCATCCTACCCCTGGTAGCATTTGTCCAGTTGTGTGCCACATCTAGAGGAATCTACAGTGAGCCAGTAACATTTCCCAGATTCAAACAATGATCCACTGCATTAAAGCACCCAGCCTTCTCTGCTTCTCAATGCAGCCATTAGGAAGACCCAAAGTACAGTCAGGAAGGATAGTCACTGCTTGCCACACCATAGCAGCACTTGTTGCTGTGCGCCTGGAATAGTGAGTGGTACCAATGGGAGCTGCTTGCACTTAACATTTAAGTTTCAGGACACTTAAGAGTTTGCCTGGAGGGGCCTGTCTGGAAAGACAATTATGTGTATGTATTTCTAGGAAATGCTGCCACTGAATAAATGCACATATGTTATGCCTTAAAGGATCAGAGCAATTCAGGCCCTAAATCTTGTTTTTGCTTGAAAAATGTATCCCTACAAATGTTTCCATTGAATGTCTTTCTTATTTTGTGGCAGCCACAATTTTCAGGGGAATGCCTATTTTTTAAATTTATGATGCTGTACTGATGCTGTACATTCAAATTATAACCTCACTGTATTTTACACTTAATTATAGAACCATTCACTGTTACCCTGAAAGTAAAACAATATAATTCTTGAAAAAAAGGTGAAA